TTCACTCTCTTTCCTAAGATCAATGGCAGGATTGCTGCTGTACGCAGTAACGAGCGTGAGGGCTTTACCTCGAACAAATAAAGACGCGAGAAAACAAGGCGCGAGTAAATTGATTTCCAGCCATTCGCCGCTTTTACCCGAAATTTCTGTATTCCGGGGGATTTACCCGTAATTCCGGGGGATTTACCCGTAATTCCCGTATTCCGCGGGATTTACCCGTAATTCCCATATTCCGGGGATTTCGTTTCGTCATTCAGTGTCGTTTTTCAACGTGGCAGGCTTCTGTTTTTTTGCGGCTATTTGTTGAACACTAATGGTGATGACCATTGGTCCGGAAACAGATAAAAAACGTTCGTGGATGATGTCCAATTTATGATGAGTTATATGTTGTAGGTTATATCCAACCAGCGCGATTATCTAACACTGAATGATGATGAACATTGGACTATGAAAATCATCGTCGTGAATACAACAAAAACTTGTATTCGAGTATTGGAACCTCTGTTGCTAAGGGCTAATTCTAGTCTGAAAAGCGGTGGTCGTTTAGTTATCATCTTCTTTAAATTGTGCCTATCTGCCGCTGAGGGGCAAAGATGAGATTTCTCTACCCCTATCTGTCCCTCCACCCCTGCCCTGTTCCTCCACTCCTGTCTGTCTCTCCACCCCTGCACTGTTCCTCCATCCCTCTGTCCCTCCACCCCTGCCCTGTTCCTCCACCCCTGTCTGTCCCTCCACCCCTGCCCTGTTCCTCCACCCCTGTCTGTCCCTCCACCCCTGCCCTGTTCCTCCACCCCTGCCCTGTTCCTCCACCCCTACCTCGTCCCCCCCCCCCTGTTCCTCCACCCCTGCCTGTTTCTTGCAGGCTTGTTCTCTCTTCTGTGACAGGCAAGCTTCATTCGAGCCTCTACTCTCTGGCACCGCATTGTCTAACCCCAAGGGTAGCACTAGCAGCCTCTTCAATTTCCTTCTCACGGCGACCGGCCGTGGGCCTGCATCAGCAACGACACTTCTCTAGCCGCGCTTTCTCAATCTCGACTTTTGTTTTCGCCCGCAGATCTCAAGGACGAAGTATGCAACAACACGCAATGCAAGATCGGATGCAAGCCGACGGTGGGCGGTGGCGCCACCTGCGTGTGCCGGCCGGGAAACCAGCCGGACGAGATGGACGTGTTTCAGTGCGTAGGTACGTGGCGAGGGGGAGGAGGAGGGATAGGGAGGAAGGGGAGAGGCAAGGGAGGTACGGAGANCAGGTCACGTGGCCGAGGGGGACGGAGGAAGGGATAGGGGAGAAGAGCAGAGGGCAAGGAGAGGTATGAGAGAGAAAGGGGTCGTGGTGGAGGGAAGGCATGTGGCAAGGGGGAGGGATGGGGCGATGGCGGACTAGTTGGAGTGGAAGTACGTGCGAGAGGGAAGGCGGGAGTGAAACGTGGAGGGTCGAAGGGAGAAAGGAACGGGGGAGGAGGGGGAGGGATGAGGAGACAAATATGTATATCATACACTGAACAATAGGCTATAAAACGGTAGGCAATACACTGAACAATAGGCTAGACAATAACAGATGCTCGAAATAAGCGTGTCCGGTTGTCCGAGACAAACCACAATTTGCGCCGGGACAACCTAACCAGTTTGAGACATTTGTCCGGTGGACAACCAAGTAAAAAATGTGACGTAAAAACGCCACTTTATTTATGTTTTGCCCAGTGGTTCTCAAGAGTACTTATAGCCTGGCGCGCCCGCCATTAAATCTATGTGTGGGAAAGCGACGCATACCAGGTGCTATTTCCAACACTGGTATATGTCAGGTTTTCTGATTTATGAGAGGTGAACTCGATTTGCGAACCAGCAAACCAGCAAGTTCACCCTTACATTTTTGGTATTTTTATTCCATTATTATTTTTGAATTTGCAATGGCTTTGCCCATGCAAAACAAACAACAGTGGGATTCATGTGATCCGAAACGTTAAAAAAAGAGAATTGTCGTGGTCAGAATTAAGGCTGTACATGCTACTCAAAAGTGCCGCAAATACCATCTCCTGCCGATCTACATTTTCAAAATTTTCTGGGGGAGGATTCCCATCTACCCCCCCCGACTCGTTTTTAACCCCCCCTCCTTGGAAATCCTAGATCCGCACTGAACAATTACATATCTTGGGAGCAGAGAACAATGAACAAAAATGTCGCCTTTTCGCATGGCACCACAACAAAGATTGCCAGAGAAGGTAGAGGCAGCCGTAGGGTGTGGAGAAGGGGGCGAGGAGCAGTAAAATATTAAGTCATCCACTATTTTGCCGCAGTTCCGCTGTTTTTGGCCTCCCTTTGTTAAAAAATCCTGGCTACACCACTGTTTTTGCCGGGTGTTTTCTGACGATATTATTATGTGATTGAAAATTAGGAGATTTGGGGATTTTTTTTGGACAACCAGAAAATGTTGCGGACCACTGGATTTGATGCCTGGGTTGTCCGCAGGACAACCACATTTTTTTTCTTCATTTCGAGCACTGAATAAACTAGGCAATAGGCTAGACAATGAACTGGGCAATACTTTTTAAACAATGGAGCTGTACACGCAATCCTGACTGCGCATGTTACGTTGCCTTCGGCGTTGACTCTGCAGACACGACCGAGTATGGCTATGAATGACAATACACTAATACGATCGAATATCGTTGCAATCGTTGCCAGCTAATCCAAAACCAACTGCATCACGTTACCTTGCCTCTGCAGACACGAACAAATATGAGTAAGATCTAATATCCTTCCAGTGGTGGTCGCCCGCTAATCCATGTCCGACTTCACACGTTACATTGCCTTCTGCGTTTTCTTGCAAGACACAAACGAGTGTTATGTGTGTGTTATGAGTGTGAATACGATCCATAGAGGTCGCTGGTTTATACGTGTCCAATTGGGCTGTTACGTTACCGTGTTTTTCCCTTCGCAGACACGAATGAGTGTGAGTATGACGACAGCTGCGACCAGGGATGTGTGAACACGGATGGATCGTTCACCTGCTCCTGCATCTCGGGTTACAGGCTGAGCGAGGACGGAGTCAACTGCATCGCCATCAATGGTACGTCCACAACAACAACGACAACATCATCAACAACAACAACATCATGCGTGAACGACAACATCGTCAACACGCATCAACATCAACAACAACCACAACAACAACACATTAATATCCATCAACATGCCATCTACAAAACATGCATCTACAAAAACATCAACAACAACACCATCAATATCATCAACATGCATTTAAAAAAACATCAACATCATCAACAACAACAACAACATGCATCAACATCAACATCAACATCAATGTCAACAACAACATCAACAACAACACCAACAACAACATCAACAGTACGCTGGGACACACATTTGTTAATTAGACCCACCTGCCTGCCTGCCTTCCTGGCCTGTCTGCCTACCTGCTTGCCTGCCTACCTGCCTGCCTGCTACCTACTCTGCTTCCTTCCTGCCTGCCTACCTGCTTGCCTGCCTACCTGCCTGCCTTCCTTCCTGTCTGCCTACCTGCCTGCCTGCCTACCTGCCTGCCTGCCTACCTGCCTGCTTTCTTCCTGTTCTGCCTACCTGCCTGCCTGCCTTCCTTCCTGTCTGCCTACCTGCTTGCCTGCCTACCTGCCTGCCTTCCTTCCTGTCTGCCTACCTGCCTGCCTTCCTTCCTGTCTGCCTACACTGCCTGCCTGCCTTCCTTCCTGTCTGCCTACCTGCCTGCCCTGAGGCTTACCTGCCTGCCTTCCTTCCTGTCCTGCCTGCCTACCTGCCTGCCTGCCTACCTGCCTGCCTGCCTTCCTTCCTGTCTGCCTACCTACCTGTCTGTCTGCCTGTTTACCTGCCTGAGTCACTGTGTGTATAGACTTTATTAGTTGTCTCTCTCACCTATTTCCTACCTATTAATAACGCTGCTGCTCTCCATTAATAAATTAATCGTGACTCTAACCGAAAAACATCCTTCCACATTTTATTCTCCACATTTTATTCTCCACATTTTACGTCTCGTCAGTCAATCATTGTAAGTTTCACGTATCCAAATTTCCATTCACTTAATGAGATTCGTTTCTATATGGCATCCGGTGACAGTTTCCTTTAGCTGTGCTAGCTGCTGCTGTGCTTTGTTGCTTCTATATATCTGAGAATAGATTCCTGCGCGCGGTGCGTGAAATGCCCTCAGCATCGCTCGCTCTTTTACTTCGTGGAATTTCCCGAAATCAATACGAATATTACCGATTTGGCGGTGCATTACTTAACAGTTATTCGCCGAAGGCGAGGTGAATCTTGTTGAATAATCGAGGGGATTATTCAACAAGATTCACAAAGCCTGAGGCGAATAACTGTTTTAGTATCATTGCCCGAGTGACTATAGGAAAGAAAACCTTTTGCAAAGAACTAAGTGGTGAAACCACTCTGTTGACAAAACGTTTCGTAAAATTAGATGTAAACAAGTGTCGGCAATATATATATATATATATCGAAGAATATCACAAGCGCTGTCATCTTTTTCTACTATATATGTATTGCTTACAGACATGCATAACTGTATTCACTGTAGGGTAGTGTCTGGCCTTTCCTTCAAAGAAAGAACTATAAACTAATGTCCAAGGCCTATATTATAATTATTGTAAGAAAGTTATGAAAAAAAAACATTATAAGACCTGTAAAAACCGGCAAAGAAAAATCAATAAAAAAATTGGTGACCAATTTTTTTTTACTCTAACCTTAACTAAACAAACTGTGGCTTTCATGGTTGTGTAAAGAGTAGCCCTCTAGTGGCAAACGCAAGGATGGGAGCAAACCTTACTTACGTTGAGTGAGATGAATGACTGAAGAGATGTAGTTTGTGATTTGGTCTCGCTTACGCATATTTAATGTCGATTGACATAGGAACGCGTGTCCGTTACTCGCTTATTCACTCACAGAGTCTTCTTCTTCTAACGACAGTAAAAGGCGCATTCACGGAGCAAAGTAATTACTTTTGCACGCATATTGGCCAAATTGGGTTTCCCTGTTGTTTAGAATGACGTACAGCGATGTGAAAACCGCCTCGTAGGTTTGGCTGAGTGCTTTCGCATGCATCCAGGAGGTAACTCGATAACTGTATCCCCCGCGACGAAGTCGGCGGGGATACTATGGTTTAATGTCTCCCCAGCCGCCGCCGCCGCCGCTCGGTCCGTCGCAGAGAATTTTCCTTCCGCTCTATAACTCGACCCCTAATTGACCTGGCGTGACCAAACTTGGTATACTTACACATCTTGCGGAGAAGGTGTGCAGAGTACCAAAACCAGGTCACTGCGACCTTTATTTAACCTTTACCTTGACGATCATATTTTCCTTCCACTCTATAACTCGGCCCCTAATTGACCTAGCGCGACCAAACTTGGTATACTTACACATCTTGGGGAGAAGGTGTGTCGCGTACCGAAACCAGGTCACTGCAACCTTTATTTGACCTTGACCTTGACCTTTATCATATTTTCCTTCCGCTCTATAGCTCGGCCCCAATTTGACCTAGCGTGACCAAACTTCGTATACTTACACATCTTGGGGAGAAGGTGTGTCGCGTACCGAAACCAGGGCACTGCAACCTTTATTTGACCTTGACCTTGACCTTTATCATATTTTCCTTCCGCTCTATAGCTCGGCCCCAATTTGACCTAGCGTGACCAAACTTCGTATACTTACACATCTTGGGGAGAAGGTGTGTCGCGTACCGAAACCAGGTCACTGCAACCTTTATTTGACCTTGACCTTGACCTTTATCATATTTTCATTCCGCTCTATA